GAGATTGGGACGGGAGCTTGTTTTCAGCAGTTTGTCACTATCAAAAACACCATGAACTGGAATTCAAACCCGGTTGAAAATGAACCAGCAACCAAGTTGCTAAATCCTTTCAAAGTGTCATTTTGGGTTTTCTTTATAAAAGTAGCGAAGTGCACACGCATCATAGGAAAATCACAGAAGATGAAGCAGCAAAATGACAGTTGGAACAAACACCAACCGTACCACTTAACCAGATACCATCACCCTTAGCCTTCCCGGTCCATCCAACTGTACATATTACAACATGGCTGACAGGGTGTGGTTTTTGAAGAACACATAGTTTACCATGAATGGTCACTGATTTGTAACCTGCTGCCCTTCCCACCCACCCCCATGTAATAGACCACATGTCTATGTGTATCATCATAACTAACATTTGCATAGTACCACAATGTGTGGAATACGTCCCTAGTGTTCCAGGTATAGAGTTTCCAGAAATTTAAAAAGAACGAACAATTATTTTTAAATGAGCAGAAGCCCTTAGAAGAAGGAAGGGATCGACTTGCTGGGGATGGGTTGAGATGGGTTTGGGTTTCGAATGGGTAAAACAACTCCGTGACGGGAGCCAATGATCAAAAATGACAACTCTGCCTGACAAGCTCTCGTGTTGGCCTGTGTCTCACGTTACATCTCCATTTTCACGGGAAACACTACCCCCCACCCCCGTCATCCTCTAGCCTTCTGAAACCCCAAACCTAACTCACCTGTCTAAACTTTTCCCCAACCCTCCTTCGTGAGAATTCCCCCGCTCACCCAATCCCTCATCCTCCTCAGATCACTGTTAGATCTCAACTCTGGAGCAGGGACCTGCCATCCCACCTCAATTCCTCCATTGACTCCTGCACACAAACTTCTAACATCAGCAACACCACTCGGATCTCAGCCTACATTTCCCCCCTAAGGTGATTGCCCCTGAGAACAGTTCTGAGTTTCTGCTGACCCTTCTCGTCAACCGTTCTAGGTCCTTCCACAGCCCTCTCAGGAGAGCTTTTCTTCTCAACACCCGAGACACGAACTAGGGGGCAATTTTTCAAATCTAACGTGTTAGCCTATTTGTTCCACAAGAAGAAACCTCTGCTTGCTCTCTCGCTCCTCTGGAAGTTAGGACTCTGGGCCAGGAAGGCCTGCCTTGCCCTGGCCCCGCCCTCTTCAAAGGACACCACCTTCCCCTCTCTCCTCCAGCTTAATGAATTCCAGTGAAGCAGCGGTAACAAAATTTTTACCCAAGAGCCACTTATCTCGGGTGATTATTCGTGACAACCTCAGTGCCCAACGAATCTTTGAGATGGAGGTAAAGTAGACACAGCTTTCCCATTAGAGGGTGTTAATGGCTGGACCATACTTCCCTTTGGGTGCTAACTCTGGGGGGAGCTCACTGTAGGGTCCCATCAAGGGGCTCTAATGTAGGCTATGTTTTTTACACGAGATCACTGAAACCCTTGGTGGCTGACTAGTCCAAGGTCCAGACTTCCCAGGCGCCGGGAGCCGGGGAGAGGAACTCCGTATCTCTTGGCTGCTTTTGCAGCATTTACCCCCTAAAGTACATTACCTTTTTCTTTGGCCACCGGGAATCCATGAACGCATCCCTGCATACCGTCTCCCATGTAAAGAAGTCTGGGGTTTGAGAGCTTGAAGTGGCGTCCACAGCATCCACGTTGATTGGTGATTAGTCTTTCTCCCCCAGAGATTATCTCCCATTTACAGATGAGAACTTGATGTGGACAAATAGAGTTTGACTTGCTGACTAAAGCCCTCTGGAAAAAGGGAGGGGATCCACTAGGCTACCCCACACACACCCACACACACACTGTTCCCCACAGACCTTGCTTGATACCGCGGGAACGAAAGGGCCTCTTTGGGATGGACCGTGTGTGGAGCACACTTACTCAGGTCTTTGGCTTTGCTGAGCTTTGCTCCATGTTCCACGTCCAAGTCTGCATGGGTCCGTGAAATGCTGACAGCAAAAGGCCAAGGTGTGAGAAAGAGGCTTAAAAGATGGCGGCAGACCCTCTAAGGGCCACATGGACCGAATGAGGGGTCGTTCTCCCTTGGCTCTATTTCGAGAGGCGTGGTGGAGTCGACGTGGAGATGCGTAGGCCTACTTTGTGGGACTTTCGGTGCATCAGACTTTTGCTCGAGTTCTTTGCTCATTGGTAAGTGAAGATGTGCATGTTTCTCATTGGCTGTATCAGAACCATCTCAGGTATATGGTACAAATACAGATACCTGGTCCCCAGGTAAGGCCCTCGCATCTAGACTCTAGAGCAGCGGTTCTCAACCTGTGGGTCGTGACCCCTTTGGGGGTCGAACAACCCTTTCCCAGGGGTTGCCTAAGACCATCAGAAAACACATAATTATTTCACAATATATAATTACATGTTGTTTTGTGGTGAATCACTATGCTTTAATTATGTTTAATGATGTTCAATTTGTAACAATGAAAATACATCCTGCATGTCAGATATTTGCATTACAATTCACAACAGTAGCAAAATGACAGTTATGAAGTAGCAACAAAAATAATTTTATGGTTGGGGGGTCACCACAACATGAGGAACTCTATTACAGCGTCGCAGCATTAGGATGGTTGAGAACCACTGCTCTAGAGTCGATTTAAAAAATTTTCAGCAAGCAACTGAAATCTTTGTGAAGCTTTGTGAGGCTTAGGATACAGGGTACACTTATTCCTCACTTAGTGACTCATTATCTGACATGTTACAATCACAAAAATGGTTTTAAAAAATCAATTGGCTATTTTGCACATGAATGATACGTGTTTGGCAGAAATGAAGGCTGAGGTCCCTGACCGGGTCTGTGACTTGTGGACCCTGTGTGCATGGACAGAGGAAGCTCATATTGTATGGTATTTACCACTGGGAGGGGCAGGGGGCTTGGTTCCCTGAGCTGCTGGAGTGCCAGGTGGAGGGAAGGAGGGGGAGCTAGAGTCTAGCCGGTTGGGGTGGGCTGCTGCCTGCAACCTTCTTGGGCCACCCGGGCTCTGGAGGCCCAAGGCTTCTCTCCTGTGGGTGCTGGTGCAGGCTGAGCTCTGCTGAGGCAATGTGGGGGCGGGGGGGAGCTGCAGTTGCAGGTGGCCGAGCAGGATTTTGACACTAGAGGTGAGGGAGTGTGGTGATGTCATCCTCCTTTTTTGCATAAGGTTGATTGTTGCTTAACAACCTGGTCTTCGGTTGTTAAGTAGCCGTGTTTCCAAACTGAGGCGTGGGGGTACTCACACCACCACGAGCTGATCTTTGCCCAGAACTCCGTTGAGCACGAGAGATCTTGAGACCCTGCTAGTACTTCCTAGAATTCCCCGGGGAGTCTGTTAAAGATGTTAGCCTTGCCCAGAAACATTTGGGCACGGGTCCGACCAACGCAGGGCGCTGTATGGTTGGCGCTGCGAAGACCTACAGCTGACTTGTCTTAGGCCCTCCCACTGTAGCTGGCCCATTTGAGGAACTAAACAAGGGAGGTGGAGGGTGCCCCTCTGCAGTCTTGCTGGGAACAGGGCCGAAGTTATATCTCAGAAGAAATAGTAGTGCTGGGTGACACACGGGATGTCACGGGCAATATGCAGGAAGCACGGAGTGAATAATTGGCCTATTGGGAGCTGGGAAAAGGAATAAGGTGTGCTCTTTAGCCTCTTCCCATCCACTCTCTGCCTCTTTCTGGTCTGTATTCAAATGGAGTTGTTTCCGTCTAAGTCAGGATCCTAGGGGGCAGACTGGCAGGTAGGTCCCAGAGGGCTTCCCTGGCTCAATGCTCACATTTTACAAATAGAGAAAGCGGGGTTCCCTGTGAGTTCAGTTCTTTATAGAATATTGGTTTCAGCAGAGACCGCCCCAAGTTGACAGCACAGATGCCTCCTTTGCTGGGGCATGGCTTCCTCCTCCTAACCTCACCTCTGTTTTTTGTAAGAGAAGAGCTTCAGACAGGACCAAGAAGAAGATGAGCCACTTGTATGACCACCTGAAAAAAAAGTTCATGACCGACCAGCTCCGAAAGCTGGGGCGCTGGAGACGGGAGTCCCTGACCCTCCAGCACTACCTGGATAGCATGCGGACCTACAAGATCTAGTTCATACCGGAGCCCCACAAATGACACACCCTGGTCAAGCCCATGTGACCTGGCCCTGGGCAACAGCAACCTTAGAAGAACCACCGGGTGGACACCAGCATGGCAGCCACAATAAACGGAGAGCGGCAGGCTGCAGAGCACAGAAAACCCCATAGGAGGTCTAAGATTCCTTGCATACACCCCACCGTACACCCACCGTATACCCACCCCACCCGACCCCACCTGGCTATTCTGAATTGTGAAGGAGATCCTGAGAAGCCACTCAGTCACACACCAGCTTCCATGGTTCAGGCAAAGAGTGGCCTTGTAGTCCCCACATCGCTGAGGTGGAAGGCCAGGCCAGGTGCTCTGAGGTGACAGTACTGTACAGCCAGGAAGGGCTTGGGAATGCCGCTACTGCCTGCCATGGCCATGGTCAGAAGGTTGGGGAACCTCTCTAAGCCCGTTGCCTTAATTTGAAAGAAGGGAACAGGTAGTCAGGATGGGGTACAGCACGTGGCCCAGGGCCCCTCCTTTCCCCAGTGGAGCCCATCATGGTGGCTACACTGGCGTCTGGCCTTGTCCTTGCCATTCCCTGGCCTGCTTGGGTTCCCAACCACAATGGATGGTCAGTCTCCACTTGGTGTCTTACTGACTTGGTGCCACTATCTAGCATGCCTCTTCAGCCACCCAGGGCTTTATCCTTGAAGGTCTGTCTCAGTGATGCTGCCTACAAAGCTCTCCCAAATGCATCGCCCTGCCTGCCAACGCTGCACAGGCTTCCTGGATTCCCCGTAGCCACTGTGGTAGCTCTCTGGGAATTTATCCTAACCTTTGACCAGGGCAGGGGCCAAGGATCATCCAAGAATTCAGTCCAGTGCCCCTGTCCCCCCCTTTTTTTTTCTGTGACGACTTCCCTCAATTGGCCCTTCAGAACACACACCCCTCCTTCCTGTGCCCCTCTGTGCATAAGGCCTGGGTGCATTCACACATGGTGTCCCTAAGCAGGTTCATGTCTTGGTGGCAGGGGCACCGGCATTCATCCCTGTAACTACAGTGCCCAGCAGAGTCTCTCTAGATGTCTTATGAGCAAATGACTCTCTTATTCATTTGTGTATTATGTCAGCATGGTATACGTAGAGCATGCGTTTTAAGTTCATCAGGTCCCGAGGAAACAGGCTCAGAGACGTGACCTGATCTGTTCAAGGTCACACAGCAAGTTAGTGGAAGAGAAATAAGGCCAGATGTTCTCACTCCCACAGGGTGGTCAAAACTGCTAGGTGTACTTAGTCCTCTCGGTGATTTCTGGCCCCCACAGGGCTCCTGGGAAATCTACCTCCCACTCTCATCTTCATTCCCCTCACCAGGCAGTGCTGCCTGATCGATGGCTGTGGTGAGATGGGGCAGCTGTGGTGGGGGTCGGGGGCTGCACGTGGTTATTTTCATGTTCTTCCTTTCTGATCTGGCTTTGACATCTTGGTGCTTGCTACTGTCCTGGGCACTTGGCTAAGGACAATTGATTTAAATCAATATTTAGATTTCATACAAGCAATAGTACCACACTTACCCCAAATGCTGATCTCAACCACGGCTGACATTTTGAGGTGCTTGGTTTGGTCCAACAGTTTGGGATCTTTCCTTGATACCAGCTGACTTGATAGCAGTTTATTTTATTTCATTTTTTCAGTACCTGGAAAGGGGAGTGGGCATTTTTCAGAGGACTTTCAGAGCAGCCTCAGCCCCGCTTTCCTCTGAACAGCCCCTAGGCACTTTCTGCCCCCCCTATATTGACTCAATGCAGCCAGCATCCGCCCCCCACACCAACCCTACCACATCCACCCTTTAGCATTGACTGAGGGTCTTCCCTTCCCCCCATGCAGTGGCTCAAAGGACTGGGGTCCCTTATGGTTGCTGGGGAGGTTGGGATGTCAGTCTAGTGAGTCACAAGCACAAACTCAACTCTAATTGGGTGACCTTTGTGGTTGGGGTCGGCTTTGACCCATAGCGACCCTGTGCACAACAGAACACAACCCTGCCCGGTCCCGCACCAGCCTCAGAGTTGTTCCTACGCCTTAGCACCTTGATACAGCTGCTGGGTCAATCCATCTCCTTGACAGCCTTCCTCTTGTTAGCCACAAACATGATGTCCTTCTCCAGGGACGCTTCTCTCCTGACAACGTCCAAAGGATGTAAGACGAAGTCTTGCCACCCTTGCCTGGCCGTACATCTTCCCACACAGATCGGTTTGTCCTGTTAGCAGCCCCTGGTACTTTGTTGTGAGGTGCCAGCAAGTCCGTTGTGGCTCAGCGCAACCTTCGCGCCTGCGGAGAAACCGTGCCCGGTCCTGCACCACCTCACAGTGGTTGCTATGGAGTCAGCCCATCTCGTGGACGGTCTTCCTCTTCTCCGCTGCCCTTATACTCGGAGTCATGATGCCCTTTTCCGGGTGTGTTTAGGGTTCCCATTTTTTCATTAGACGTTGAGATGCTGTGTTGAAGTAGGAAACTAAAAGGGATGCAGGTGAGGAGAGGCTGCTTAGTTTGAGGCAGGCGGACGTGACAAGGGCCTGCCTGCGAGCGGTGGGCGTGGCTGTCAGCCATCACACAGGGGCCCTCATGGTATGAAGGTTACACATCAAGTTGCTAACTGCCAGAGCAGCGATTCAAAACCGCCAGCCCCTCCAGAGGAGAACGATGGGGTTTGCCGCTTCTCTTGGAAACTCACAGGGGCAGTTCTACCCTATCCGGTAGGGTAGCTGTGAATTAGCACCGGCTCAATGGCAGTGAGTTCAGTTCAGGTTTGGGGTGGCTTAGGCAACAGGCACTGATCATTTTAAGCTCCGGAGCCTGAATGTCCACATCAGGTGTCAATAGGGCCGTGCTCTCTCCACAGGTTCGAGGAAGAGCCTTTCTCTGGCCTCTCGTCACTTCTGACCGAGCCAGGTATTTCTTGGCTCACAGCTGTGACAAAACTCCATTGCCACATGTCTCCCTCTGTGTCTCGCTTTGTTGTTTTTTATAGGACACCATTCATATGGGATGGGGACACACCCTGACTTCATAGGAACATAGACAGGTGACATCTCCAAAGATCCTACTTCTAAATAAGGTCATGTTCATAGACACCAGGGATTAGGGCTTCATCATTTGGTGGGAG